TCTGTTTGAAGTATATTTCAACGAAACAATATATTAAAAAATTTCTATGCATTAAAAAATATCTGCAAAAGTAAAATAAGCAATATCATTTACACGGTCATTAATTGAATCTAACCAGTTATCTATAATTTCAGACTTTACTATAATTCCAATTTTCCGTATCCTCACCATAATGCAGATAATTTAAACTGAGGTTTTTGGACTGTAAAATAGAGCAAGTTTCTTCTTTTCGTGGCCGTATTATGTCCTGCTAGCTCGCCAAGCTTGTAATTATTCGGCTTTACGTTACTGTTGCCGACTTGTGAACTTTTACGCCGGTTGCAGTTTGTAGCCAGCTTAGATTTAAATTTAATTGCGTTGTCTTTGACACTACTAGTTTGCATTTTTAATTTTGAATTTTGGCTGTTATTTTCGTTGCATCGCCGCAAGTTAAGATTTAGTCTGTAAGCACGAGGAAGTGCATTTATGTTCTGTTTTGTTTCAATAAAAAGGTTTTTTTAAAAACTTTTTCAAGACTTTGTAGTTAATTACAGACGCAGTGATAGTTCGCTGTACGTCTGTTAAGAGTTTGGATGCAGTTTATCTCCTAAAGCAAATAAAACTCTATACATTGATTAAACCTAAAATTTAACGCATGAACTGGGTGAAGTTGAAATATATAATGTAAGTATGAAATGAATAGGATGAGAACATAAGTCAGTATGCAGTCCTAGTTTTAACACGTTTCCCGAATAAACCGAACATTAACCCATTAGCCGCTGGTGTTGCGTTGACGCCACGGTAAAAATAAATGCGTATATAAATATAACTACCTAAAATATTTTATACCAGCAGATGATTTTGTGTAGGGAATATTATGAAGATTATTTCTGTAAAAAAATATTTGCCTTCAACAATCATTTTGTTTATAATAATTAACCTCATACTTTAAGCAAGATTTAAGCAAAATTTTCGACCGGGTATTTTTGCTGAAAATATTTAACGAAAGAATCGCCGTCTTTATGAGTGAGCTATTTTTAGTCAAGGTTACCGTTTATCAGAACATTACATCAGTCAGACGTTTATATTTGTGTTGGGAAGGAAGGGAAAACAGGTGTTGCGTTAACGCAACGTCAGCAGGAAACGGGTAGTCAATCTCCTTTTTCACTCATTCCTTTCGATGTTCTCGTTCATGTTCTGGTTGTTTAAAAATGCCTAAAAGGATGTATCTTATATTAGAAGAAGTCCTTCAAAGATTTTTTGATGAAGAAACAGATGATGATAATGTTAATAATGACTAGAATGAAACCGATATTGTTGCTGTTCCCCCAGAAATTACTGAGGCTAGTGACGAAAAAGAAAGGAATGGCAATGTTTTAAATAATGATAATGATATTTTACCAAATGATACTGCTGGGGAAGTTGAAATTCACGTAAGAAGTAAGTTTCAGCCTTCTAAAAGCAGTTATACTCATACTAAAAAGTTTAAAAAGCAGAAGACTGAAATCTTGAAGTGGATAAAAAAGGAACTGTTAGTTATGTCTCAGGAAGAACACGAAGAAAGAAATAGAAGAGAAATAATAAGAGACAAAACACAAGGTAAAACTAGTGCACAACAAATTTTCGATTTTCTTTTGGGTTTAGACATTTACTCTCTTCTCGTTGAACAGACAAATATATACGCTCAGAGAAAAAAAAAAAAAAAAAAAAAAAAAAAAAAAAAACTAGAATTTATTGCATCTGAAGCCTATAGGAGAAGATTTATTGGAATATTATTGCTTACAGGATATCATTCTTTACCTCAAAATATGTATTGGTCTTTTGATAAGGACATTTCTGTTCCTGTTGTACGAGAATTGATATCACGTTTGCAGTACAGGAATAGGAAGCAGAATTTACATTTGACAATAGTCAAATTGACAATACTGACAAATTATATGAGGTGAGACCGTATCTAAACTTACTAAATATCACCACTTTTTACTACTGTAAATATAAAGTCTCTTTTAGATTTCAGACGGGAGAATGCATTATTTCTTTTGCAAACTCCTATTGAGAGTGTAGAATTAGCCAGAAATAGATCAGCAACAAGAAGACCTAGTAAATTCAGTATTCAAGAACCAGTGCATGGAGATGGTAGACATTTTATCGTAAAGTCCGTTGATAACAAAAGACTTTGTTGTAAAGAGTACCATAGCCAGACTGCTTATCGGTGAAAAGTATGTAATGTAGCTTTACATCATGATCGTAACCAAGCTTTTCATGCTTGAATCTTTCAAATGAAATAATCTGTACTTGTAAAAGAAATATAATATATATTTTAATATTAAATTAATTACAAGTAAAGTGATTTGTAGATTTATAAAACGTTATACAGCTAAAAAGTAATCCTGCGCTCCACTCAAAAGAAACATCACACGTGTACAATCCTACTCACTAAACATCCGTAGTCTTATTCCGCTGAAGTTGCGCGAACGCAACACTCGCTTTTTTCACAGGTAAGAGCATTTTTTTTATTTTCAATGTAAATTCATGTTATAAATGCTTAATTTAATATTTGTTATTATTTTCATGAAAACAAGAAACATTCCTTGTAGTTTTGGCGGTTAATGGGTTAAGAACAACATAAAGTATCAAAAAACTTTTAATGAGAAAGAAAATGTATAAAAGCTGCCATAAAGAGCAGTTTGAAGTTTATATCTTCCAGTTAATAGATATACACATTTAAGTAAAACACAAACTACACAGCAGTGCAATCTGGTGATACGATATTCTAATAGATGGGGGGGGAGGAGAAACTTAATTACCAAGGGAAGGCAGTCACAAGCATTAGGAATAACTGAAGAAATATTTTCATTTTGTTTGCAGCTGTTAAATCATTAATATCTTTGGATACAGAAACGTAATGATCAATTTATATGAGTATTACTATTATCATATAATCTTTCTCGGGTCATCCAAAAAACTGACATAGATATATTGTTTCTATATCCATACGAAAAGGCTGTCTAAAGGACCAATTCATACCTCGGTTTATCTTGAGCTAACGAAGTCAGTTCCATGTGTCGAAGTGCTCTGCTACACTGACTACCAATAAGTATTTGGACACCTGTGATAGAAAAGAAAAAACTAACTTTATTCAAAATCAATAGTTGGTAGAGCCTCCACGAGAGGTAATTACAGCGTGGACCCTCCGGGGTATACTTTCCACAAGTCTTTGTATGACAGTTAGTGGTATTTTCTTCCAATCGGCTTGGAGAAGACATAGAAGTTCCTTCACCGATTTTGTACGTGTAGTGCACCCCTGAATTCGGCCACGCAACTCGTTCCAGAGGTTCTCGATAGGGTTCAGGTCTGGACTATGGGCAGGCCAGTCCATTCGATGAACTCCATTGGCATCATACCAAGCCTTGGTTAACGTCGAAACATGACAACTGGCATTGTCGTCCTGAAAGTAACAGGAGTCCAACCCGAAAACTGCCACAACGTAGGAAGCACATTGTCATCCAAAATAGTGTAGTAGGCATCGGAGTTGAACTTACCATGAATGGGGACCAAGGTCCCAGCCCATACTAGGAGAAACACCCCCAGACCATAATTCCACTTCCGCCGAACTTGACTGTTGGCACAATGCATTCTGGCAGGAGACGTTTTCCAGGTAGACGCCAGACAGACCCTGCCATCCGAAAGGTAAAGGGTGAACCTTGATTCGTCCCTCCAAAGAACCCGTTTTCACTGATCTACGGTCCAATTTCGATGTGCTTTGCACCACATTAACCGAGCAGCATGGTGATCAAAGGCTTATGGGCAGCAGCACGACCATGAAAGCCAATCAGATGTGCTTCCTTACGGATGGTATTCATTGAAACAATACTCCCGGATGCCTGTTGAAACTCCTCGCGGATGAGGGCTATCGGTTGGGTGCGGTTCTTCCGAATTTCTCTGAACAGCACTCTTCGGTCTCTATCCCCCAGTTTCGTTGGTATGCCGACTCGGGGCATATTCCGACAATCACCGCTCACCTTCCACTTCTTAATCACACAGGCCACTGTCGATATTGGGTACAGATCGCTAGATATGTCCCTTAAGGATAGGCCACATTTGTGATACCCGATAATTATACCTTTCTCGAAATCAGAGAGCTCCGAACTGCGAGGCATCTTGCATGCGACTAAAGCCGATGCTGTTTCCTACACGATATATACCGGGCGGAGTCCGTGGCGTACCTTAAGATCGCAGATATCGTCATTTGCATAGGTATCCAAATACTTATTGGTAGTCAGTGTATTCGTAAAGATCAGTATTTTTCAGTTTGCTCCGCTATGAAGAAAACTGGTTTTGGGGCTGCGTCGTTTGTGCCAGATGTTTCCGTTAGTTCAGGTAAACCTCAGTGTGAACACCCCTTAAAAGGCACAATATCTCTAGAGTACATCGGGATAATAAACACACTTTATATTTATAAGGTATTTTCTCCCTTCTTTCCGCGTGGTAACTGGAAGCGCGCTCGACTTGTATTCAGTAGTTCCAGAGTTGGAATCCCAGCGAGGGTATTAAGGATTACTTCAGTTTACTGACATCGAAAAATTCTAAAAAACTCTACATGTGACGCCCAAACTTAAAGGGGGTGGACGATAATTCATTCTCACCAGGATTTGGCGATTGGGTTCCCTAATCTTCAGTCGCCTTTTAAAAGGGAGAGTATGAACAGCATTTCTTCTCTTTTTCTGCATGCCATCGGGGTGTAGCACTCTCGACTCTGGCGTTCGAATCCAGGCAAGGCCAATGCTGATTTTCAAGTCCCTGCATCGATAAAACCTAAAGACTCTAAATATTTTCAGATCTTCTGTCTGACTATGTGATTGTCATTTTAAGTAAAAACTTAACTCTGACGTAGAAAATATCTAACGTGAAGTAACCGGGTAATGCAAATAGAAGGATATAATCTCTACTTGCAACTCCAGTTAAAATAATGTTAAGCTAAAAGAGGATAATACAACAAAAAGAGAAATTGGTAAACTGACCTGGTACGCAAGCTGGAACATGAGTCCAAGTGCCGTTGTTACATACGACAGGGGTAGAGTTGTGAACGACATCGTACCTATTTTCGCATGTGATGTTGATCTCCAGACCATGAAGCACTCTGGCACCCGGTGGATAGTCTGTGAAGTTACCTTGTTCCATTTCTGGTACAATGCAGGGAGCTGTAAGAGGAATCCACATTTTACTCAAAAAACCTTTTCTGGACTGTTGCAGATATCACACATTCGGTTCCAAATCGAATATATTATACAAATTAAAAAACATATAAAAGGCATTAATTCTCATTGTATAGAAATAAAGTAATTTGGCCCCAAATTCCTGACTGTATTACTGGCTGAAGTAAACTTCCTGCTTAGTTTTTCGAGTGAAAGGAAAATTCACAAAGTAAGTTAAACTCGTTAACTGTACATCAAGAAAAATTCATTGAGAGGACGCATTATTGTACAGTATGAAACAGGAATTAGGACTATCACAGTATATTCCAACATATTTCCCTAGTCTCTGCTAGCAGTTGACTGAATATGCGACTTTTCATTCGATTCTCTGACAGAAAAAAACCTGATGCTTGTTTATGCAGTTATCCTACAACGCTATTTTTAACCCACTGATCGTTGGTCGTGAAAGGTTTTGGTGTCTAGATCTTGCGCGTAAAATTAATTTGCTTATTGCAAACTTTGGTATTACATTATCCATTATTAAGAACAGTGCAATTGATCAAATTTGCATACCTTCTGTTTTTCATGACTTCCTATGAAACATGTATGAAAACTATTTTCAGTGACTACCTATAAAATCTTAAAATAAGTATTAATGTTTGTTGCCTTTTTCATAATGTTTAATGCAAACACTCTTTTACACTCGAAGAAATTTATCTTTGCAGTTAATGGTGCACAGCTGTCATTTCCGGAACAGCAGCCCATAGCAGCTAAACGCTGAAACTGATCAACACTGGTACTTCAACCTGGTTTCAAATCCCATCAAATGGGCTGAGTGCATGGGTAGTTTTGTGATATGAAATACGAGCCAGCTTTTCAAAAATGTCTTTCACGAGAGCAGCCTTACCCTTAGACGGCCCCTGTATACTTTATCCTAATCCAAATGATGTAATCCTATCGATCCTGAACAGAAATAACGTGTGCCCCTGTTCCACAAATGTGGCTCTTATTTATATGGCAAAATTATGCATACACAGTGATTTCACCTCAGAAATCATCGCCTACGACAAAAAAAAAAAAAAAAAAAAAAAAAAAAAAAAAAAATGTTTAAAGATGGTAAAAATCTTGTTATTTTGTGTCCGGGTGTCCATAATGAACACAATTCACAGCAATCACGATGGATTTGGATGCTGAAATGCGAACTGCCTATTTGGGGTTTTCAGCTTTTGCTCAATTTCTGAGAAACCTTCTGAGTCACTTTGCCACTGGGGCAAATAATTTTACAAACTTTCAGGACAATGTCTGCTATTATCAGTGCTAATGGTTTTTCGCGTCAATCGGCATCAGTAAAATCTCTGTGGCAGTGTTCGACCTGCTGGAATCATTTCACTAGGACTGAACGGGGTCATTCATGCATCCAAAGATTTCCATCATTTTATGATAAACATTCGTTATGATAAACATTCTTTTTTGTCAGCAAACCATCTCAGAGAAATGTTTGCCTACTGGTTCTTATATTTCATTTTTGGCACAAATTTCAGTTGACGCACCACTTTATTCTCATGTATCGAATCTACTTTTATTACCATTGTAAGGAAAGTGTCTCTGTAGCAAGGAATTGACATGTCTTGTACATCCTCTACTCTATTTGCGCAATTTTACTAATTCTTGAAAATAGCCACATACCTTTTGAATTACCTACATCTATCAGATTACAGTTACATTCTCAAGCCATATTATTAGCATCATTACATGTACAGTGTCAGCCGCTTATTAAACTCACTGGTTAATAAACTCAGCTGCTGTTTGAATTCAAATTTACAAGAAACAACGAATATATACTTATCAATAGAAAAAAAATTCACTTATATAACTTTATAAAACTCATGTCATCCACTTACGAAACTCAAACTGACGAAAGTCTGATTATTCAGATCCAGGATAAACTGTTTATGGCTGATAAAAGCGTTTTGTAGTTCATACATTTATATTTCAGTTATAAAATGCTTGAATAAAATGAGTTTAGCAGAACTCTCCGTCAACAGGCAGAAACAAGACCCCTGGAGGGAACACTTTTCTAGTTCCTGTCAGACACTGTTTTCAAATCGCTTTATACAGACTAGAGCTGAGAGCGACATAATTCCTCCTTATGATTAACAATTCCAGTCCTCTAGAGGCATTGGAAATATGTTCTTTGAATATGAATGAATGAGTCTTTCTCAGAATTAAAGAATAGGAGGTGCTTATGTGATGTGCACACTGATCCCCTTTCCCGAACACCAGCCTGATAGAGGACTGACGTGCATACAACCATTAAGTTTGTAAGCTGTTTTCAAAAAACACCGTGAAACCTTCTTGGCATTATTGTACGTTATCAGATTTTGATTAGAAAAGGGGAATGGTAGTTGTACGCTGAAGAAGAAAAAAAGAAAGCTTTGATTACGATTATAAAAAAGATGAATTGACAGTCGTCTTGATGGATGAAAGGTGCAATTTTTCTGGCACATTATCAATACACGTTTAATAAAAAGGGAAGAAAACTTTGAAAAAAAATGTATCAAAATATTATATATTTTTAAACATTTCTTAAATAATGCATATTTATTATAATTAATTACAATTTAAATTATAATTAATTTACTTATAACACCAGTAGTCTGGTCCTTATTTCATGCCAATATATATATATATATATATATATATATATACATATATTTATGATTTTTATTCTATTAAATTACGCAGAATGATTAAATCAAACTTACAAATACCTTAACAGCATAGCAATGAAAATGTAAGGCACATAAAAGATTGACCGTTCATCATTCTACGTTAACTTTTATGTCAACCGTATTTTCACTTCTTAGCGAAGTCTTGATATCCATAGTATTCGAATCCATCAAATTCGAATACGATCGAATTACTTAACACAAATTTTGACACAGCTCATTCCGAATGATGTAAGACAACACTATTTCTAAAGGTCTCTCATAGTTGAGCTGGCCAAGATAAGGGAGTTTCTATGATTCGGAATAATCTGGTGATTAAATTATTGGAGTGAGAATAATACTTCAAGTACTTATTAACCACAGTCGCACCAAATTTATCGACACGTTAATTGTTATTACTCCAGATAACCAAAAAAGATAAGTAGGATAAGACTTTGCATCCATCGAAAAATTTCCCTACAAGCTGTAATCTGGATAGTGACAAGATTCATCCGGAAAAGAAGAATCAAGCCTAGTCAAAACTCACCTAAGCATTTAGGAATTGGCTGTGACCAGTTTCCATCTTCTTCACATGTAGTGGCGGGGGAGCCTTCCATTTTCATGCCATCGAAGCAACGGAAGATGACATTGGACCCGAGGCTATAACTGCGGCTTTCAAAGTACCCGTTGTAAAAAGGTCCTGGATCTTCGCACACGATTTCTTGAAAGTACAATAAGGAACATTTTAAGAAAAGAGTTTTGAGAAAAAATAAAGAATCGAAATTCCAATTTCATTCATAAAGTAGATGAAATTAAGTATTATGAGAACAATTTTGAAATAACGACTCATTGAATTTTAACGAAAGTGAATAAATACTCTTACTAAAAATTATACTTTACAAAAACAAAGAAGTGTTTCTAGCATTTAGCTCTAAGCATCTCAAAGTACCTACATGGTAGAACCCTATTTATTCGAACTAACTATCAATGGAACCATTTCGAGTAACAGTTTCTGCAGATGACTTAAGTCCAAGGCAATTTTCGGAAATATGGAATTTGGTCATTTAGTTACCGTTCGAATACAGCGTACAAATGACACATGGTAATATTTAAGTTTAAGTGACATTGGTTGCATGAAGGTACAAACAGTGAAAAATAACAAACAGTGTCAAATAGTAAACTTTTAGCGGTATTAGATTTCAATTTGAAATTTAAATTGCAATTATGAATTTTATTTTTAACTTTTGCTTTAATTAATTAATTGAATTATTGAATGTGAATTATAAATAAATAGTTTTTTAAATTATTTTTACTTCAAATGCAACTAAAAATATCTCTTAGAATTTTACAAAATTTATGCTTTAGTTGCATATTAAGCTGCGTTTTTATAAAGACTACTAAGAAAAATAACTAATATTATGTGGACAAACAAAAGATCTGCTCACTTATAAAAGTATCATAGACTCTTTAAAAAATAATTAAACGCAAAAAGATTTTTTCCGAGACGACCATTAGTTTACATCTTCTTGAGATATATAAAGACAATATTCATGAGGGAATCATTACATTCTTCTTTCAAACTAAGGTCGAAGATTAAAAGCATTCAACAATTTCTAGCCCAAATGTTTTATTTTATGTACTGTAACTTTCGGACTCTTTAAACTTTAAGCCGCAACTTGAAGTAAGTGGATAGGAAACGTTTTCTCATACAGGAAAATTCAGCCTTTATACCTTTGTGAATACTGCAATAAAAGGTTTCATATCCATGCTTCTTAAAGCTTAATTTTAGGGTACTTTGATATTGCTTAGATCTCCGTCTTATTCCACATGGTTATATATTATAAAATTTTATGTTAACTAAACAGTTATTATAAGCTGAATACTTTAAAGTCTTCTTTCCGTATAGAATGCAAATTAGTCGTGAAGTTCAGCCGAGGATTTGAATGTTTGGCCAGCCTTGACTTGCTGTTACTTTGTAGCGTTGCGCGCCTCCAACTTGCACGCAACCAAGAGGTGACTGTGAAAACTGGATAAAAGACAGAGTCTTGTTAAGGGTTTAAGTCTCTTTTTATTCAACGTAATAAATTACAAGTGCGTGCTCTTGACGCTCACAAACTGCGCCAACTCGGCGGTCAAATAAAAATAATAACCTGAAAAGAAACTAAAGACAAGACTCTAACTACGAGGCTCTCTAAAAGTAACTAACCTCACCGCGTTTTACAATACCGCTGCTAATTCAGCAAACTTTGAAGATCACGTTGAACGATTAACAATACTTCCAGGCAAGCACACAGGCCGAAACGCGGGGTTCTTCAATTTCTGGCTAACTACCTCCGCGCTCGTGAAGTAAGAATATCACACCTCGAACTCGTTTCCTTTCTATTTAAATCAGAATACTTCCGCTGATAATTTGAATCCTTGCGCGTTCTACTAAAATTTACATACTCTGGCATTGGCAGTTCCAGGGGAAAGTAAGGCTTGACAGGAAAGATAGTTTAAACTTAAAATAAATGTTAGTTAAAATAAATATAAACCCTACAACTTATTACAATAACATATAAACATAGCAGGTATCATAAGCTCTAGACTTAGATGACAATATGATTCTTTAAAATTATTAAACACCTTTTCTCCTTAAGGAGATCTTAAAACTCTAGTTTAAGACTGAAATCATTGTTTTGATTTTAGAGTCGCCTTTAGCGCAGTTTTCCCAGGATTTTGGACATTTATGTTATGCTTCTATGCATTTATCAGTTCATACCTTAGTATTTTCTTCCTTCCGGCATGCCTTCGAGGTGTAACGGTTATGAATCTTCATATCTTCAAATAAAGTCATTCTTATACTAAGAAAAACTTTATTTGTAATGATCATTCTCTCAATACAATTTATGAAATAGATTAGAGTGTAGCTCTAATATCACCAAATATACAGTCCAAAATTTGTTCCTTAAACTCTATTAATAATGAATTTAAATGAAAGGAGATATTACGGCGCATTATTAGGGCAAAAAATGTATAAAAATTGAATCATCAAATTCTTCAGAAATATAAATGTTCAGCGAACTGCAAATATAAGTTTTCAAATTTATGTCCCAAATACAGGAAAGCAAGAACATATACACAATTAAAATACCTTGCATCTAGCATCTAAGTTCGCACTAACATATCAAGCTCCTTTCTGAATTAAGGATTAAAATTTCTGCTGGATTTTATTCACTTAATTAATGATCAACTCGCAAATGCATGCAGATTGTTTTTGAATCCTACCTGGAGTGTTGGACGGAAAGAAAGGAGGGAAGAATTTCGTATTCTTGCCGACTGTAGAGGTGTCAAAATGATTAATCGAGAAATTTCGGTAAATCGCCAATTTGGTCTAGATTTTGCTAAGAAACTCTATTAATAACCATAACAATTTGCTCAAATTTTTAAATAAAACATTTGAACGTATCTGCAGCATTTTTATGTATGTACACATACTAATATATATGCAAATTATATTTAACTTCACTTTTATCTTTGCTAGATGTTTTGTCAATGCTGGTATTTCTGTTTCATTTCTTTAACTGTTTTTGATTATAAAATGCTTCTGCTTATACAAGTTTTAATCATTTTACAGCATGCAACGAAAGATTTTAAAAGCATTGCTGTTTCATTCTGAATAATCTTCATTGCTAAGTAATTAAAAACATTCCATCTAGAGTAAAATAACCTTTGCTAAATGTTCTGCTTTCCATATCTCTTATGCATGTCAAGGAGTGACTATAACATGTAAACATATGCATGCAAAAACTGAAAGCCATAAAATATCGCCCTTAAATACAAATGCAATAACTTAGTCTTGAATCTTGAATTCCAGAAAAATATATGAATCTCGAAATAACTTGTATGCGCAACCTGTTATAAACTTGTTATTTTTTAAAGTTTTATGAGGGAGAAATAAACTTTAAAATTGTGATATGAATTCAAGCAGTTATAGTAAAATTCATGAAACTCTAGATTAACTAATTTAATTAAACTCCATAATAATAATACACGCTTAATGGTCTTAAAAATATAATATCACTTTTCATGGCCGTCATGCACCGGCATTTAAGTTTGAAATTAATGGCCCAAAGGGTGTGAAAATTAAAGAATATTGAAGCAAGAATTAAGTTTAGTTTTTATTTTAGATAAATTATGTTATATCTTTTATTCTTAGGTTTGATCTCAATTAGCATATAGTATTTAATTTTTAATACTACTTGCACAGATTTTCATGACCAAACGATGGAAACTTTAATGCAAAAGATTAAAACAAATCTTACATCAAAGAAACAATAAGAAAATAGTTGATTGTATAGCAGTGATGAATAACAAAAATGATACAGAAGAAAATGTTTACCTTCGCATGTTGGATCGGATCCTTCCCACTGCTTACTTGTATTGCACGTTCGTGTAGCAGGACCCACTAGGCGGTAACCATACCTACACTCGTACTTTACAACAGAATTATAAGAAACAGAAGTGTACAGAGCACGACCATTTGGAGGATCGGCTGGAATGGGGCACTGTACAGCTGCAAAAAGAATGAATTTAAATGAAAGGAGATATTACGGCGCATTATTAGGGCAAAAAATGTATAAAAATTGAATCATCAAATTCTTCAGAAATATAAATGTTCATCGAACTGTAAATATCACTCAAAAGCGGTATTCTAAACAAGCATCGTTAAACTGCAAGAAAACTTACGTGCAGATGAAAAAAGGGACACATTTTGTTCTTTTGGTCACAGTAAAAAATAATAATGCAGCTCGCTCATTTGCTGAAATTACTAATGGGGATTCGATTTTAAAAACAGCTTTTGATCTTTATTTTTGTATGTATTTTGTAAATTTTAATAATATTATTATTCGGTACATCGATAATGACAATATACCCAAGCTTTTAAAATTACTCATAGAATGATTGCAATAAACAAACAAAAAAAAAGCGACGTTCTGCCATACCCTTTTTAAATAACGCATACACGAATTTTCAGGAGATTCATTTCTAAAAATGAAGTCTCACTGAACGTTAACTAATTGTCTTTTAATTTCCTAAGTTATTATTGTTATGATCACATCCTTCCTTTTTGAAAATAGACCTTGACATGATTTATACCTAATTATTCTCTCTCACCTCATTTGATTGAAATTCTTTATTCAGAGAACTTCCATCCTTTCTTCTCAAGTCATCATTCATCATTGCATGTTTTCTATTATAGTAAAGCTTTTGTTTGGGAATCTTCTAGGCTTCATCATCTTTCTGTTAGCTTATTATGAACCCTGAGATCAGTGCTAAGAATATACGCTATATAAACAAATACTCGCTAAACTTGTGTAACAAATGATCTCCGAACCTTATAGAAACTTTAGAAGTATTGATTCATTCTTCATTCTTCTTCGTATATGCAACACCCTCACATTCGTAAATGTCAAATGCAGCATTTGTTCAGAAGAAAATTTCTCGGTTGTCTGACAAATTGCTATTCGATTACTCATGAGAATTTGAGCTTCTCTAACAGGCGTTCGTATCATCTAGGTTAAAAATGCATTTGTGTTATTGTAGGCATGTCGGAAATTTCTGATGCACTGCAATGCACAAAGATGGCTCACATTAATCAGCAGTACGGAAATTTAAGAGTCTCATGCACAATAAACGACGTAAGAATTTTAAAGGGAATGAAAATCAAATTTATCCGACTGTTTAATTTTTTTTTAACTTGCTACTCACGGAACAAAGAAAACGTGAAGAGTTACTTGCAAACGGAAATACACCTATTCTAAAGCTCTCCAGCGTTTTACTAGATTCGCAAAAAATTCATTTATGTTTGTCGAAAATGAGTTTTTACTATTTTGACCTTAAATAAAAATAATTAATGTGGTGAAATTTCAAGAGATGATCTTAGAAAATTGCTATAAATAGCAGAACCAGGAGCAATGAAATTAATGTTATTCTGCATAAAATAGCTTTCATGGGTTCAACAAGGGCTCAGTGGCCAAGTCTAAAGTTCTTTGATAGAGTCTATTGACTGCATGGATCTTGTTTTTTCCTATTCATAACATAAATACGATTCAGTTTCCTTGCAAAGTCCTCCATAAAGTACCTCTTTAATTAGAAAGATAACATTCGTATGTTTTACCGTGATTAATTAACCAATTAAACCGAGAAGGAGGTCATAAATGGCACATCTTTGTATTTCATCATATGAAACAAAAATAATGTTGGCACTAATTCGAATCGCATTCTTGGTGACTTCTAAGATTCTTGCAATAACAGGTTACAATGTTCCATTTTCAAGGGAGTATGAAAAGACTTTCTAGAAAGAAAATACAGAAGATAGCTATCAGTTGTACTACAGTGTTTTCGGCTTAAGGATTAGACAAGCTTAGCGACTGTGTGTGAGACCTGCAAATAATTGCACTTTCATTTGAAGAATCCTTTTGTTTTTCTCAAGCTGCAACAAATAGGTCATAGAAGTTTTTTCTTTTCGTAATTTGTTATAAATAAAGGGTAGTCTGATAACGTTCTCTTCTGTGTAAGCTTTCTCCTTTGTAAACTAATGCCTTCTGATCCCAAAATTTATTGCTTCGATGTATTTCAAAATTACAGAACGCAAAGAAAAAAATATATTTTTAGTTAGAATTATTTCTTTTAACCAAGTGGCGAAATAAAAATCAACGGGGCACGGCTCGGAATCACCTCGAATCATATCGTTTGGAATTCATGTGGAGAAAATATTTAAGAAAAATGATGTTTTTGATGAATTGTTCAAAGCAGTTTTGGGAACATGGTCTTTGTCATGACGAATTGTTAAAAATATTCTTAGCAAACAACATGCAAGTATTGTTGTGTTATTTTTATGAATTGTGTCGTTTATTTTACATCCACGCTTCACGAGCTTGGCGGAATCATAGCTGTGATCCTGATGTAATCCTAAGATCGCCTAAAAAGGTCGAGAGTCACTATAATAAGGAAGTACCATTTTTTTTTCATTACTGAGTATCGTTGAAATCAGTAGCTTGTGAGGTTTATCTATTTATTTTTAACTAATAGTTCATTTTAAGTTATCACTTTCCTATTACTCTTTTTTCACAGATGCATTTCATTCCAGAATGTAAATGAGATAGCGAGAGTTTATTCAGGTTAAAGTAGGATGAAATGCTATTTAAGCAAGAGTTTCGGAAGTTAGTTTTAGAGCGTGTCTGCCTATTCCAAATCACGTTATACTGTGATTATTAGCGACTTGCTTTAGCGGCTTTCAGGGTTTTAGCCTTGTCATGCCGGTTTACTACAAACCAAAGCTCTTCCTGCGCGTTAAAATATTCTGTGAGGCGTTAGGCTGATCTACTACACCTTGAAATTTATTAGTTGTTACGTTATTCTTTTGAACCAGACGTGTTGGGCTTTCTGTAACCCGAGTTGGGTCATTTTTCAATTTTATGCTTGAATTAAAGGATCTTACATACCCTTCTTTTGATTTATGTTGTGTTTCACAAGGCAAGAAGATAACTCTTCAATAGTCCTTTTTAAAGTCTACTTTGTACGTTTTCAAAGAGACATAGACTTTACAAACTATACTACGAATAAGTATTGAGCAAAAATTCATAGCAATTGATTCTACATTTGAAGAAACAATATAGCATAGTTAATTAGAATTAACAGTACTTACAAAATCAAATGCTTAACAAAGAAGGAAAGAGTGGTATTTGACTTTAATGGCACAGGCTGCACGTTTAGGCCTTTAAAAATTAAAATTTTTAAAGTAAATCTTAACATTTTCTTGCATTATTTTTAGCCTTTAAATAATTGTAGGGCTAAGTGAAAAAAATTACGGGATCTATCTGTTTTAAAAAAATTCCTATTTAGCTAAACAGGAAATTTTGAATTAGACAAAATTCAACCTCAGATTTACGTTAACTTAAAGGGAAAAACGATTGAATCCAAATGTATTCGAAAGAAGACTGATTTTAAAGAAACAAGTTTGCCTATTCTAAAGGGACCTTTTTACATCTTATTTAACTGTTTTTCATTTGTTTGATAAATTTCGTTTCATTTTCTTTCCATTATATTTGGTTCCGTATTTGATACCATACAGCCATAACCGCTGTAGTTAAATAAATCAAAGTGGTGGGCAGTTAACAAAGTATTTTTTTAACTGCATGACACATGCGTCATTTTTTCAAAACATTTATAGCTTTGCTGCTAAAACTAACTTCAGTTTCAAGCTGAATTTCACCTACTCTCATTTTTAGTATATACAGTATTTCTCCCTCCTTCTTATCATGCCCTCGTGGTGTAGTCGTCAGCACACTGGGAGCGTATTCGAGAGGACCGTAATTAGAGTCCCGGTTACAGCACTGCTCATTTTTCATCTCTTATGCTTTAAAAAAATACCTAATGTCTCTACAAGTATATCATTTTTTTTTCATTCTAAAAAAAGTGATATGCGCTGAATAAATTTATGTAATGAATAAGTGACAATAAACAGCCTTCGATTTTCTGGAGTCACTCGAAGAATCGAAAGTTTAGACCTGCAAAATATATAATGAAAGGCTTAGCCTAAGCGAGGACCAGAGCCTGGAAATGGTTATACTAGTTGATTCTAGACAGACCAAACGAAATAGACAGGAAAATGTAGTAGAAGCTCTTTCGTTATGATTATAATCATCTTAAAGTTATTACTATATCACAATGTTGATTGGACGAGCAGCACAACATCAGAACCTGACATGATTTGCTTAACACCTATTGCAAAAGCTCCGCTTTATGTCACAGGTGGTTGTCATGTTAATGCTGTGTACTTCATATACATCTAAGTGATGAAGTTTAAGCCTTCTGCGCAGTATGAAACGTGTTAGTGTATGTGCAATATCCTCTGAAATGCACTTCGGGTGACTGTATGATCGATTACAATGTTACCTAATTAGTAACTATTGTATATTAGTGTGTTTTCAAATAGTATATTGTACAATTCTATAGTTGAGCCTTTTATCTTGTTTCTCTGCAGAACTAGGTGTGATAACGTCCTTAATTATCCATTATATTGCACTAAAATCGCTATTCGATAAGGCATGTCTACTTTTAAAAGAGAACTTAACAGAGGATCATTTATTCTGATATGAAAGGGGTACATACGATTTTTTCTTTGAACATTCTCTATTCTAAACAAAACGTTTCAAAGATGAATAAAGAAAGTAACTCATTCCTAAGTAACGCAGAGACTGTCCCTGGATAAAATGTTCTAAGGTCTTAGAGTTCGCGCAACGACATAATACGGAACGAAATTTCAAATTTTTAACTTTAGTGATGATGGTAAACAACCGTTAATAAATATTAACTATCACTCTTCAAAAACGATCGTTTTCTACTGATAAAGATATCAAAATATAAATTCTTTTATTTTGGTCATGATGTACAATTTCAGGCTCTCCCGATTCAAGCTTTGTGAAAGGACAACAAAAATTGTGCCGTTCCAGGCTTTTTTATCCCTTCTGCAGGTGCTCTGTATGAAAACGTCAAAAATCGTACCGCGTCAGCTTTTCGATTTTTAAACTTTCGTTAAAGTTAGTGCTAAGACATTTGAAAAGGGAAAAGGAGAAAAGTAAGTTTCAAAGAAAGAGACTGGAATTAACCATTGTCACTTTAATGTCATTAATGATAAAGAAAAGCATATTCTTTGTTTGATTAACCAGAGAGTAAATCTGTTATGCAGGTGGTCGTAAATAACTCATTTTCCTTTGTATATGGTTTAAAACCCTTTCAGGGGCGACATGTTATGATTTTTTAAAAGTTATGAAAAAGTAAGCATAATGACATGCAATGGTCCTATAGACAACATAAATGAGTTTAAAATTTTTTTCGTCCCCCTTTATGGAAAGGGGACCGGTTTCGCCTTGAAACCAGCGCCCCTCTAGAGCATTTAAGACTAAACATTTGCTTATTTATCTTTAGTTTGCTGAAAAGTATCTGAACGTAACCCAAATTGCAGATTATACTAGTAAATTACTGAATAACTAATGAAGTAAGTAATATTTGCATAAACACGCATTTTTAATTATAAATAAAGAATTTAAAACAGGAAACAAAAAAGTATGAGTCAAAAAGTAACTAATAATGCACTAAATTACTTACATAAAACTATGAAATATTTTTAAAAATTATGTTAAAAACTAAGAAAATTATATGTAAAAATAAAATAAATTAAGATGCATACAATTATTTTACTATGAACTAGAAGCATGAGAAAAGCGACCGCTAAGAGAAGCATAATAAAAACGCAACTGTGAGTGTTTTTCAGTGTGCTCTGTGTCTCTGTAAAAAATAAGAAATGTTTTCCCTTTCTCAAAAGCTCCATAAATCCTCATCTTTGAAGCCACTCAAATGAAGATATGGTGCAACTGTTTACAGCAGTCATCCAAAAGCAATAAACACAACTGCAAAAAATCTCGCGACTGCGTCATCTGATCCTTTCTTCGATGTCTCAGAGGGGCGGTGGTTTCATACTGAAACCGCAAGGAAAACAGTCAAAATTAAAAGGGTTCCATTACTTTTTTTTGTGAACTAAGGACATTTCATTACTCATTGATGCCTGCTTATAATGCTTATAAAATATATTGTGGAAAAATTAAACATTTTTGGGTTTTTTTGTTTTTAAAATGAGGTCAAAAGGAGCAGTGTGGAAAAGAAGCTAATTTTGAATGATTCGTATCAATTAATGGATGCATAAGAAAGGATTTGGTGCTGCCATCTGTTATCAGCTTTAAAGTAGTAATTTAATTTGGTAGCTTTTCCGGTTTTGCCGGAAAAAAAAAACCCAAATTTTCTAAATTAAAAAAATGTTGAAAATGCGGTTTCAAGGCGAAACCACCGCCCGTAAAAGGGTTAACATTCTTCTCTACTATGAAAATCACATTTTTAAAAGTGTATGAAATAATAATTCTATTTTATTAAAAATGTGATAGTAGCACACTCACGAGTTTCACGATTCTTTGCAACATTTTATTTTAAACACAGATTTAATGCAAGGCAAATCCTCAAAATGTTTTTATTTTTTTGTTTCAATGGAAATTTTTACTTTTGTTTTAGTTCTTATCCTTCTGTTTCACGAAAATAATAATACTATATCGTAATGAAATTTTAAAAGCACCTTGTTTTCTATATTAGGTATAATCTCCAATGTAATTAATGCGTTACTTAAGCAGTATCTAAAGTGTGATATAGACACCTAATAATCACGTGACTCCCTATCGCGCTTTCAGATTTTGCATTGACCCTGAATGAAAATGCTGAAATGGGAATCCTTCTTACCGCCCCATCGAGACAGGCTGAAACGCCGTGATTTTTGATTCATTTCTAATGCAAAATATCATCGAAAATAATTTAGTAATTTGAAACTAAAATAAATTCAGTTACAGACAATAAAGAGCTCGTTCCTCCCATAAAACTTTTTAAATTTAATATTGCGTATTACCCCACAATTCCACACATAAAAAAACATAGCAGAGAAGTTAGTGGTTTTATATATCGTCCATTATTAAGCAAGTTCTAAAAATTTTAATATTGTGCTTCGCGAAGCGCATGCGCGAATCATATGAGAAAGCAAATCGTTTGCTGAGAGTTTTAACATTTGAAATGTCGCCTTATACTGCAAACAAGGTATCTTTGTATATCATTTAACCCTGTTAAATTATGAGAATATTTCGGTAATTTGCATTAAATATGAGTATAGAGAACTGATATGCATTCATACGAATATTATTATACGAAACCTTAGGCAAGATTAAAGGCAGAATAAACTACTTTTCATTATTAAGTTGAGCATATTAAAATGAAAATAAACTGTTAACAACTTACGTCTGCAGGAAGGAAGTATGGCGGACCATTTACCATTGGCCTGGCAGTACCTGTGGGCTCGTCCGACTAGTTCGTAGCCTACGTTACAGTGATAGGTGACACGACTAGTAAAAGTAAATGTATTTCCGTCTCTTCGGCCATGCTCAATTTCACCGAGCGGACTGCAGTTTCTCGCTGAAAGAAAACAAATTCTCAAATGTAATTTTTGACCTCTAATTTTATACAGGTGAAGGAAATAAAAGGCAAAAACGCTGTCAATAACCATAAGGACCTGAAAGCAATAAGGTAACTGTTAAAAACCTAAAGCAACAAAATAACCGTTAAGAACGGAAAGCAATAGAATATAAGAACTAGTTAAGTAGCTCCCCCCCCCAGAAAATAAGTTACTAACGTAAAATAGTTCACAAAATATTACTATCTGTTGAGGAGATAAAAACCATTTAGAATTTTAGTTTTTGGTTAAAATTGGCAACTCTGTAGACTGAGCTGCATAATAAATACTTTTTATAGTTTCCTTCGTACCCTACGTAACTATGAGGCAATTTCTTTTAGAAAATTCTGTACTAAGATAGCCTCCTAAGGTAGAATCTCTTGGATATTTATTATATCCGTAATTAATTAATAATTTAGCCTTAAACCATAATGGAAGAATAAAAATCGTTGGAAATTAATTTGATATCTTAAGCCTGCATACGAACCTGCATATGCACATTTCTCATTTGCTTACAAATGAGATCTTTTGAAAGTTTTCGCGAAAATATAAACAAACGGGTATATTAGCAGTAACCTAGATGAAAAGCACTTCTGGGAATATTTTAGCGCTTAGCAGAAATTTAGACGCCGGATACAAAAATAGCATCACAATTACGTATCACACTGCTTTTTTTTCACAAACTTGATTTTTACTACATACTTGATTTTTACTGCATATTATAATCGAAATGCAGAATTTGAATTATTTAAAAAACTTTGATAAAAAGAATTGGATACATAAACAATATATTATAATTTTCTGCCAATATATTAAAAATTTTGAATTTTACAACATCGTTTAACTTTTTATCGACTCACATATATGTGGGATAACGTTAAATAAGTCTTAATGCATAAAAAGTACAATTATCACAAATGAATATTTATAGAAATATGAAAACATTGGGCATGTGTGTGAACAAACAGTTTACATTCAATTCCTTGGAGCGTTTGTATTAAATTTTTATTCCACTTATATATGAACCAATATGTGAGTAGAACAATGCAGCAAAAATCAACAAGGCGAAAATTATTTTTCTCTAAGAATACCCCTTAAATCTGTTAGAAAAATATTTTTATCCAAGGTCTGTCACAAGGAAAATACTTTTATCGCCTATCAAAAGCCAAGTTGAAATATGGATAATATCACTATAAAAAATTAATGTTAAAGAAATACTGAACTTCTTATGAATGGCGTCTAAAAGAAGCTTGGTTGCCTTAAAGAATGTAAATAGTAACGGTTTTGTGTAAGAAGACTAATTATGTAACCACGTTTAAACATATACTATATGAATATAAACTTTTAGGCTGCCCAATTAAAATAAAACTCCATGTTTTGCAAAAAATAGACTCTTTTCTGCAGGAAATTTAGTACATTAAATGAGAAACTAAGAAAACGTTTCTATTTAGATATTAAAGTGGACGTCAAAAGGAACATTTCTCAGAACCCGCACATTTCCACGAAACCTACGTAGCTAGGTTACCATTTTTGCTTACTAAACAGACTTGAACGCCAAACAGTAATCGATTATTACTCAGATCGGGATCATGTGATCCTTCAGAAGCAGAACTTTCGCCTGATTGGTTGATCTCTTCCCGGAACAGAGCTGCAGACGGAATATTTTCGGCAAAGTTTCATCGTTTCCATAGCTAGGCGGGACCTCTCTTGCAGCGGAGCTTTTTTATCAGGAATTCTCCCGTTTAAACCAGTTCTACCAGAATCTGGTTTCTCAGAAAAGTCCCGTCTAGCGGGGATCGTCGCTAGATGCGATAACCTCTTAATATTGAAGATTACTCCTTCCACTGTAAAATCTCAAAGGCATCGGATAAGAAAGCAAAAAAATATAGCTTTTTTTAAACAACAAATAAAGTTTGTTAAGAATAAAGTTAGTTTAGTTAAGAATTTTAATCATGTAAACACTTGAATTTAATTTTATTTTTGGAGGGAGAATACTTTGTAGCTTTTTTCTACTTAAGTATATGAAATATTTCCTATTGAAGACAATTTTATTTGAATGTTTTTTCATTATTCGTCCAAGAGTCTGTACGAAAATACACCACCTATCAAAATATAGTTCACTCGAATGGCAATAAAACTTTTCTTGGTAGGTATGTTTGAGAAAATTTACCCCTTAATCCCTAATCCCCCCAAAAAAATACTAATTCAGTAAATATTTTCAAAGAAATTTTCACAAATTCAAAATTTTCAGGCCTGTGATATTTCATCCAGTTTACTGACATATCAAATGAATTCAATAATATGCTCTTTATTAAAAGTGAAAAATTATTTTTTGAGTTCACATTTATAAGGAATTTTATTATTTGCAACAATTTTCTGAGGCTGCGGGTAAAAAATTTTAATTGCAGAACAATCAGTCAACATGTTTGCTAGGCCAGTGTAATTTCTTATAACAAACAATACACAGTAACAACATGTATATTAAAAATATGTATTAAAATTCAGAAATGGAATGTGACTTGTAAGAAATATACTACATTATGCAAAATATATAACATGCAAATATTTCTAGATAATTTTATTCATCAATTTCCATCTAAGAAATGTTTTTAGAACGTGAAATATCCGATTCATGTAACACTGATATATACTTTCTGAACAGGTAATATTCGTTTGAAATAAGTCCAGCTGATAAACTGATATATGCGAAATGTCAGGCTCATGCATTCGGCGAACGTCCGGGCATTTTTCAAGCATCTCCAAAGTATTTTGTTTGAATTATATCGGAGGATTTCCGAGATTTCGGATAAATGTATGAAAAACTGTACACGTTACCAAAAAATATGGACATATGATACCTTTGAAATCATGAAATATATGCACACTATTTTTGCTAAGGCCAACGCATAAGGGAACTCGAGCTTCCGTATTATGGTGACAAACCTAAAAATTATTATTTTTAAAAACATATTTGATAGAGGAAAAACGATTTCCAAAATAACAAAACACAGGGATGGAAATGGCTTTTCAGTTTGCTGTTTGTCTCCTACCTGGGCGTGATGGAGCCGATCATATGAAGTCAGCCAATATATCACGGACATGGATTTATTTCATGCAACAAGGAATATATATTGTATACTGATATTCACGAGAAAAAAACAAATAAACTTGTTGGCCTCGAAAGGTCATATTCGTTGTTCAAATGAAGCAAGAAATTTATAACACTTATTTTAATAATTTATAATAATTTTACAGATAATTTGAAATCCTTTAATAAATATATAATTTTTAACGATTCAAATTAAACATTAATTTAATTTTTCAATTCTGAACCTCACAATATCTGACTTTTTAATATATTTAACAATTACTTTACTATTTGTTCTTACTTTTATAACAATGATTAGAGCCGAGTAGTGGCAAGTAAGTAAAGACGGAATACTGCGACATTTTTCATACGTTCTGTTCTCTACTGGGGAACACGATGGCTGCGTATTGTTTACCATATGTCTAATATAACTATGAAAAAGTTTTTTTAGAAAGCAGTTCCTGTATTTACCCTTTTCCTTAGGTACACAATGCTGTTGGGCTTTGTCCAAATCAAATAATTCATTGTAACAATATTTAATATACGTATTTATAATAAAAATATTTCAAGATCACAATACCCATATTAACAAATAAATATTTTAGTATCCAGTTTTTATTTTATTTTATTATTATATTAAATTCTAGTTTTGTTTTATTATTTTAATACAAAAAAAAAAATCTGATGTGGACGACACATGACTTCCCTGCACAGCTCATTAATTTATACAGGTTTTTTGCTACACTTAATTTAAACTTATTTCCGCGAATTTTCTAACTTAATTGACCGACTCCTCAAGGCAAATTAAAAATGACGTAAGACATAAGTTGACAATAAATTGCAAATAATGACATAAGTTGCAAATTTTAAAATTAAATATGTCGATCAATTTTGTCGTATGGAAGTCAAACTTCTTATAATTTTAACTTTCCCAAATATAAATATAGGAACCGAGAGATCGCATTAAAAGTTAGATTTCATTATTTGTCAAAAGTTAATTTTTTTCTTAAATTTCAGATTCCTAAAACATGAATATTTTCTTCATTTAAAACACTTTCGTAATTGGAAGTATATGACCATGATCAACGATTGCGAAAATAAAGACCGGATAAGGGCTTTTAAGGATTAGGATAAGGACATGATAAGGGATTAAGGGCTTTATATATATGTACACCTTTGGTACTGCCGACAGCAATAAAAAACAGACGTACACAACTAGACGCTATAGGAGTCCATAAGCAAAATTTCAGTATTATAAGGGCTATTCATTTTTGATTTATGGGAGGTACATACATACATACATACGTACGTATGTAAGTACGTACAGACGTCACGAAAAAAAATCCCTTTGAATACATTTTACAGTCCGTTTTGGAAAAAAGAGTCCTTTATTCTGCCCATACGTACAGACGTCACGCAAAACATCGGCCAAATGTATTCGCGAACAGTAAAAATGGATATTTTCGCTGAAATACGATACCCGAAATTTTTCGCGATCGTAATACTTCCTTTATTTAGTACGTGGAAGTAAATATCATTTTTCATCTACTAAATAAGAAATTTCTTTTCACCTCACTTCAAGTAAGTTAGATTAACAGTTGAAGTTTTCAATTATTAACATTGCGCAATGCTATTGCTTAAAAAAGAATTAAAAGGAAAATCCATCTGGTCACTTTCCGAAGATTGCATCTCGTTTTACTGACAGAATGAAATTAAAATATGATTAGACACAAAATCATATGCTGAAAAGGAAATTTCTAATTCCGTACCGTCGTGTTAATGAAAGTTAATTTAAGTTTGACACTAATTGCTTGAATTGGACTATCTGAATAGCAGGCGATCTTATGAATAATGGAAAAGCCCTTGAAATCAGGT